TTATTTTACTGGAAAACGGGGCAAACTGTCCATTACCAGCTCTGTTATACTGTTGACGAATAATTTAAAAAAAAAAAAAAAAAAATTAAACAAAACTTTTGAACATGTTTGAAAGGAGTAAAAAAAAATTTTAAAATAATTAAGATATACTTTGTCCTTTCCTCTTAATAGTAAACATTTTGACAATAAAACATTGTTTTTATTAAGTTTGGAGCCCTTTTTTCATCATGATATGCTCTTTTTTCAGTGAATTATTGGAAGTACCTAATTTAACAGAGTCGAGATGAATAGGACTTTTTACTTTTGAATTTGACATGTGAATAAAATTTCTTTAATTTTTCAAATTTTAAAAAACACTGATAAATTTTTCAAGATTCTACTAAAATGTATTTTATTACTGTAAAATAATTTGTTTTCCTTTCAACTACAAATGTGTGTTAATTTATCTTTGATGTTGTTTACTTGTCTCTGATGCCTTTTCCTCATTTCTTGTTGAGTGAGGGTAGCAGCTAGAAGACATGCCTTCACATTCTTTCTCCTTTTCTTTCTCATCACCTAGACGAGGAAATACAGAAGTAACTACAAGCTCATGAACTTAATCTAATCAAGGAAACAAACCACCATTAGCAATAATTGCCAGATATTACTGAGGACTAAAAAACATTTTTCTTAAAGGACAATTTTAGTTTGCAAAAAATCCCGACTTCTGGGATTTGGCATTTTGACTTTCATGAATTGAGAAAAAGGATGTGTGGGTGGCCCAAGTTAGAAAATTCCAAGACTTTTCAAAGAGCTTATGAATTGTTGTTTTTCCATGATTTTTCGAGCCCAGGAAAAGGGCCCTGTCAATTTCCATGACTTTTCAAGTTTTCCAGGACCTGTACAAATTCAGTTTCCCATAAAAACTGTATACCTAGTAACAAGCAAGTGCCTAAAAGAGCAAAAAAAGTGATGACATTGAAATAGAAAATAATGATTCTCGATAAGTCAAAGACAGACCAAGAGGATACTAGGAAATTCATTCAAGTTTCTGCCATGAGTAAATAAAAATAATTACATTTTAAAAACATTTAAACACTGTTCTATTACTAATTGGGCAAATCTATAAACACATGTAGGAAACATCTGGGACTATTGTAAGCAGAGAAGAGATCTTACACTTTTGCAGCAGCCATTAAAATCTAGCCCCAGCTAATACTGACTGCATTCAGTTTTGAACGATTTTTGCTCATTTCGCTTACATTCAACTTTTGTAAAGATTTAAGTATCAGAAGTGCTGTCAAATATAAATACTTCTCTATGTTCATTCAAAACAAAGATGAACAGTTTAAAATTCTATTAATGGTTATGGAAAAAACAAAAAAAAACAACCCACTGAACTTGACATTTTGTAAAAAAAAAAAAAAAAATACATAATTTTTAATATATGTCCAGTTTTAAATAACACAATAAAATGTAAACAATATTTTCTCAAAATATTAAGTGAACATTTCTTTAAAATTTTCAGTAAGTTTCAATATGGAACTTGTTTTTAATGCAACGGTTAAGATTTTTTTTTTTTAGTAAATGCAGTTCTACTGACAGACACTAAGAATACCATGGACAGAACATGTGAGCAACAATGATGTTCTAAAGGGAACTAGAAAGACACTGATATTTAATAGATACTTACTTATATTTCTGGGGCATATTATGAGGAAAGACAGCTTTTAAAAATTTATACTCACAGGAGGGATAAAAAGAAGTAGCTGTGTGAATGAATAGCAGGGTGAGAACAAAAACAAATGGTAAAGAGTCAAAGATTGCTTAGAGTTACACAGACAGGAAGTTGGAGAGAATCATAATCGCCCACATCCTGAGCTGGTATCTAAACTTCAGTCACTGTACCTTAACTATAAACATTTTCATGATAATTGTTCTGATGAGCTTTTCTCATTGGTGCCTTGACTGCATTGATTTAAGCGTGCTACAAGATTGGCAACCATGTCTAACCATTTTACTGTTGAAACTATGTAACTTCTGGTCTGCGGAACTCCCTTCCAATTTCTTGCTACTCTGCCACCTACAATCTTCAAACATTTAAATGCAACACCAATGACCATCTTCTGTCTTCCTGAATCCTGATTTTTTTTTGTTCTTTCTCCTCACTAAAGACCTCATTCTCTTTCAGTCCCAGTAGCCCCCTTGCATCCTAAATGGCATTATCGCCTTGCTTGGGGTGAAATAATTAAAAAACAAAAAACAAAAAAAAAAAAAAAAAAAAAAAAAAACAACATTCTGAACAAATATAATACATAAATGATGCCCATATTTAAATTGAATTGTGAATTTTGGGATGAATTTGTCATTATCATCATTGATTAGATTACCCTCAGAATAACAGTCATACAAATATTGTTTATTTATAAAAAATTAAAATAACTTCTAGAGAAAGGATAAAAGTAATCTTGAAAAAAAAAAAATGCCTGTGTGTAATCAAGAGTGCTGCTAATTTTGTTGATATTTTAATGTTTATTTGCATCATTTTTGAAGAATAGAAGGACTAGAAGTAAAAAGTGTTGCATATTCTGAGGAAGTTTACTGCAACATCAAGAATGATGAAGATCAGAAACTGAAGACAAATTATTGCCCTAAAAGCCAGAAACTTTCTCTTTTATGCAAAGAACTAATTATCCATCATTTTCAACAATACTTTGTTAGCATATGAGACTGGCATCATGTTAGATGCATAAATTTTATCTAGAAATATTCATGAAATGATTTTAGCCAACAGTATTGAAGGCTAAATATTTATGAATTGAAAGGAAAAATATATCAGGAAAAACCCTGCTATGTATGCCCTCAAATAGTATAATAGAAAAGTCAAAAATGCTTAGAGGTACAATTTTAAAAAATCTCTCCACTTCATAACATTTTGGCTGTGTTTTCAAACTGTTAGGTTGTAACTTGTAAAAAGTGAGTTTTCTTTAAAAAAAATACCCTCCAACCACTCTATCAGAGGTGGAATGTGGTGAGGCTCTCACTGCTCTATTGCTACTTCCAGGGAAAGTGCTCAGGCAAACTACATTCCTTGTTTCCGCCAGGTATAACCTTCACGGTTAGGATCCGCGATGCCATTTACATAGTAGCAAACTACCCACATTCCCTCTGTATTCCATTGGTAAGAAGTAAATTTCACTCGAACTGTGACACTATTGTGACACTGATAGTATGAAATTAAGACTAAAAGGGTTCATGTGAAAACCCCATATAGGAATTGTAGAATTGGAAGGGTTAAAAATGTCAAGGAGAAAACATGAATTGAAATATGGAGCAAGGGAAAAAAAAAGAGGTTTTTTTTTGTTTTTTTTTTCCTATCTAATAATCAGAAATTCAGAATGAAATGTTTGGTCTAAAATATGATCTGAGAAGTGTGAAATGTAGATTGCTTGTTGGCTGAGAGGTAGATGGAATTGTTATAAATCACAAGCCAATAATGTAAACAATCTGAAATGTTTTGTAAAAATGCAAAGTAAGCAAAGTTTTCACTCAGTCATATTGAAAAGTCAACAACAAAGAAAATTTCTTGAAGTCAAAGACATAGAAAATAACATATAAACACAAAGTTGGTTATCGAAAAAAATTATTGAATAAGTAACCGATTATGGGCCGATTGTCATCAGGATATAGAAAGGAATGATAAACAAAGTTTGTTGTCAAAGAATGAATTGTTTTGAATAACTGACCACTGTTTGAAGGTCAGTGTCATTTCTCCAAAATTAATATGAATATTGATGAGTCCTGAGATGCAATTGGAGTTGGGCAAAATACATATAAACAGAGCACTTAAGCAACCCAGCAGTTGGACAACAGACGGCAAGGAACACAGATGAGATGAGACAGCAACAGATGAAAGAGCTGCTGAACCCCATATGACCTGCTGCCAAGAGAATTCCCAACTGACCTCTTTCTTTGTTGATTGAACCTGCTCCAAGTTTTAAAAGACAAAGTATCACGATAAAGTTTAACAGGAAGGGTTAATTTTGTTGTATCAAAACTATATAAACCAACTGAAAATTAACCCAGTGACTCTCTTCGTTATTTGTTATGTTATTTTTGCCAGTGAAAGTGTTCTTTGTCCTTTTGTAGCACAGTTTCACCATGGTTCGACCCAGCACTCAAGTATGGACGAAATTCAGTCTTCACTGTTCTGCAATTGCGAAACACAACGCGAGACAGAAGCAGATGAAGAAACAAAGTGGAAAGCAGATAACCATTAATTGCTGGCGGGAGTTGACCAGATTGAGCTGGTCAACTTCTGAGGCTGGCCATGTTATAAAACAGTTTCTTCTCGTGAACCACTGCTCTGTGGAACAGACTCCCAAGAGGATGTTTCCTTGATCATTATAATCTTAACCTGTTCAAGTTTAGAGTTAACCGTTATCTTCCCCTCCTATCCATATAAACTATCTCTTAATGCAGTGGATCCCAAACGGTATGGCTTGCATTATACGTGTAGTAGAAGAGGATAGCAGGTAAGGCAGAATGATTGAAAGACAAAAATTTAGAAACAGTTTTAAAAAATTCCTATGCCAAAAATAAATAGGATTTCAAAATTTAAAATATTATGGATTATTTGTAATTGCATGCATGAGTCCTAGTATAAACAGTTATAAATAATTATTGATTGGCTTTATAATTGTGATATTTTTGCATTATATCAAGTATTAAGAATATAGTAAATTGGGTCCGCAAATTGGAGGAGAGAATTATCAATGATAATGTTATCAACCTTTAACCCTCTCTGTTTCTTCTTTTTAAATGTGCTTTTTGCCACATAAAATTTGGTGAGACATGAGCAAACTTTCATTCTGAAAATGTGGCCCAGGAAAAAAATAATTTTTTGAATCACTGCCTTAACATAAGCCTCTACCTTGAGTAACCTCCAGGCCTTGTATCAGGTGAACCTTACTGTAAAGGAAAAAAAAATTTACAAATATTAATTAAGTGCATCAACTTACCTTCTTGAAAGCTTGTATCTGGTAAGCAAGACCTGCCCGAATATCAAGCACATGAGCCTCTGTAGAGAGAAAAAAAATATGTCTGTACTTCTTTATTCTAAAATTGATTAAACATGAAAATTAAAAAAAAAAAAAAAAAAAAAAAAAAAAAAAAAGGGAGTAGAGACAAAAAAATCTTTGACTTTAGACTCAAAAGAAATTTAGTGTAACACTTGTGAAAATCAATGACCTGTGTTCACTGAGTGCAACCAACAATCACCCGATCAACTATGAACTAATAAAAAGAAGGTCATGAGCAAACAAACCTTGAAGAAATATTAAAGACAACTGCACTAGATGCTTAGTAAATATCTGATTAAATAATGACTGTGGTGAAGCTATCAATCAAGAAAGGGAGGTTGGGTACTACTGGCCCTTACTTTACATAGAGTGAAGACAGAAATGATGGCAAATAAGACAATGCTGTTGACAAACTTCACTATGTCTACATTTTGTACAACTGAAAACTAAATTCTCAAAGTCTTATGAAAGATTCTGACAATAAAACAAAGTGCAGGTGACCCAATGGTTAACAGTGCAGAAAAAGGAATTGGCTGGCTAAGTTCAAATTCCAACCAAGGCAGTTTATGTTCACTTCCAACTAATGTCAATTGGAAAAAGATTGTTTAATATAGCAAGGTAAATTGGGCTCTTTAGCTTTGATTGATAGCCAGTCTAGGAGAAGGACAAAGCTGAATTCAAAAACCATGGACATGGCAATGAAAAAGTGCTCCATTAATTTTCCCAAAAAGATTCAGAAGAATGCATAAAAATTGTGGAGACCCTTGAGTCTAAAGGTATTTGAGAAAAAGAAAAAATGGTAATGACAATAACTTTTTAAAAGCTATAATGTTTAAATAGAACAAAATACAAAAATGTAGTAAAATATGCCTGCTTAAAACCAGCACCCCACAAACACCCTGCTTTACTATTCCCACCAAAATGTATCCATTTTTTTTCCAGTACCAAGAAACAAAATTCAAAACTAGATTTACAACAGCATTTGAATATATTTGACCAAGCCAGTATTTAGCCATAGACAACAATATGCTGCATTTTCCAGAGATAAAACATTGTAAAATCTGAAAAGGTTAAACAAGGTCTAACCTAAAAGCAGAAGAGGAGGAATAATTCACAAAGGATTTCTACAATTTCTTGTTCTTTCAGAATTTATAAATGGATAAGCTACCATTTTAAAATATCAATAAGTTTCTGTCTGAATTTCTGGAGCGAGAAGTTATCATTATTTACTCTATTTACATGCAGATTATTGTCCTCATGTTTGTTGTTGTTATCACAACATTTTGGCTGTTGTGCCCTCTGGCCTTCATCAGGTGTATGTAACCTACAGAGAATTCTGAACTGAACCCTTTATTTAATTTAGGTGCGGGTAGAGTGTTCAACTGCCCATGTCTAGGGATATCTCATCTAGTTTTTATTTTTAGTATTTTTGCTCTATTATTATTGCTCATCTGTTTCCACTGAGTCCTAGTATATACTGCCTGTCCCAAGGATTGAACTCACAATTACTATGTCACCAAATTCACAAAACAATGCTTTAATCCACTAGGATATTATCCCAGAACACCCAGATCAATATACACCTGATGAAGGCTAAAGGGCACAACTGCTGAAATGCTGTGATAACAACAAAGATAAGGACAATAGTCTAAATAAATAGAATAAATGATCAATAATAAGCTATGAATGACTTCTATTCCTAAACAATACAAATAAATAGCTTCGGTAATGAACCTACTTCCATCATAAACAACAGGTATTTCTTAGGAATTGCTCCTTGTGCAAAACATGACAAAATTCAATTTTACCATATTCTTTGGCAAAAAATAACAGGGTAACATTGCTGCAAATAACAGAGTGTGATTTTGATCTTATTTAATTTAAAGAGGTACTGCCGTTTGACGGACAGATCCCCATTTTTCAAGATAGTTATTTTGAATTTTTTTAAAATACTCAAAAATCTAGAATGGCTGTCGAAGAAGCAAGAAGGTATTTTCTTTATAAAAACAGATGACCAACAGATTTTCATGGCTTATCCTGGCGAGTTGACATTTGGCACATGAGTCACCAATCAGAATGGACTCAAGCTTTGCCTTAAGTAATTTAATTTTTTTTCAAGTATTCTGGAGTGAATTACATATATCCATCTTTCTCCTTTACCTTTTGATTCATGTCCTCGGACGTTGGTTTCTACAACTGGGTAGAAGTGGACAGGCAATGACAGAGCACGGTTGGTACGGATATACAGACCCTTCTGGCTGTGGAATGCTGCTGCTAGCTTGCCATTACCTGAGAGGGGAAAAAAAAGCAAAGTTAGTGTCCTATTGAAAATTCACTGTTGTTCTCTACAACAAAGGTGAGATTATCTTTCACTACAGAGACATTTTATCAGCAGTTTAATTGCGCATGTTAGGATCCAGTATTGCAACATATAAAACCTCCCAAACTTGTTCTCTATTTGTTTTTACAAAAACAGATTTCTAAAATCTTTAAGAAAAAAATAAATTAAAAATACAAATCAATAAATTCAACAATTTCATTTTTAGTTATTACAATTTATCATAATTCTGATATCAGTTTGTTACTTCAGTAAATCTTTTCATTGAAACAAAGGTTAGAAAGAATGCTGTCATATTTTAAGTTGTCTAAGAATTAAAGTTTCACTATTCCAGACATTTTTTATTAATATCTTTTACCAGATTAATGTTTTCCCATTACCATCTTTATTTAATAATTTTGGGCTTCTAGTTAAATTGCAAAGATCGAAAACAAACAGTTTCGAGCAAGTCTTGAACACACATACACACCATGCCTTTCAGATGATGTGCAGCAATGCCTCAGGACTGGCTGCTACTAAGTCATCAACAAAGTAGAATAAGTTAGGTTAGATTTGGACAAACTGTGGCTCATAAGCTACATGTGACTCTTTAACCTTTAATATGTGGGTCGTGGAAATATGTTGGCTGAACTCTTTTTTTTTAATCACAATTAATATAAAGAAGTTAAATAAGAAAAAATTCAATTTTGTTCATGTCTTGTGGCTCTCAAACATCTGAACTTTATTGTAAGCGGCTCTTACATTAAGCAAACTTGGCCACCCCTGAGTTAGATGGTAGGTAGCGACAATAGTATCAAAAGAAAAGAACAATGACTATCAGCAGCTTTATTAGTAAACTCTTTTAGTATGAGAAAAGAGGTCAAACTTTGCACAAAGTGACTTTTGTTTCAAATTTAATTTGAAGACGAAAGAAATAGATACATCAAAAACATTGTGGGGAAAAAAAAAAAAAAGATATCATCTAATTTTTTTTTTTAAAGGGCAGAATATACAAGCCTCCAGCTATGTGTTAAATAGTAGTGCAGAATGGGCTCTTCAGCCCTGCTTGGTAACCAGTCTTGGAGAAAGAAAATTCTGAATTCCTAAACCCAGGTAGACGGAAAGCACATGGTCATCTAAGGGAATGAAAAAAAACACCCTTCCTCAAAGAATAGAGGTTGTACATAGGATCAATCACCCCTTTTCCCATAGAACAATTTGATTACAGAGACCTCATCAAAAGGCCTTGTGCGCCACAATGCACCATAACAGAATATACAAGAGGTGAATATCAGTTTTCAGGTCATCAAGAGGCTACAAAAGGTGAAAGAGATGGAAAAAAGTTTAGAAGGAACTGGAAACCCAACGATAGTATAAATTTCAGAGTTTAGGCAGAGACATTAGAAGTATAGAGTTGAAGTAGAATTTAAAAGGAACCAGAAACCCAATCCTAAACAGGAAACAAGAGATAAACCTCTACTCCTGTTCAAAATATGGAGAGGTGTGTGAACCAGACAGTTATCTGAAATAATTGCTGACTATTTTCCTTACTCTGAATATGAAGTTAACTCACCCACATAAGGCAAATATACGCTCTCTGTACTATCTGGTTGCTGTGCTGGGATAACCACAGCATCATCAGTTTCTATTGAGTGAAGGAAAATGGAAAGTTTTTCCTCAATGCATCGGGATGTTGAGCCTGAAAAGACAAACACCAATTTCTGAACAAAGTGAAAGAAATATTTTCATTGGTCAACCTGAAAGCAAAATATAAAACTTTTTCCTGTCTAAATTCCTGAGATGAGGTATTGTAACTATTTACACTATTTACATTGTTGTCTGCATTTTTATTGCTATAGTCACAACTTTTTGACCATTGCATACTCCTGCCTTCTGCAGGTTATACTTCTTGGAATTTCAAACCAAACCCTTTATTTAGTTCACAAAGGAGTTAAAACAATCTACCACAATGGACTAAATAAAGGGCTTGGTTCGAAATTTCAAGAAATATCACCTTAAGACTGTCAAAGTGTACAGCAGCCAAAATATTGCAAATATGGCAATAGAGATGAAGACAACAATCCAAACAATGTAAATAGTGTAAATAAAATTATTTTGCATTTATGTTAGTTTCAGAAAGTTTCTTTTAAACACTGAAGAATTATTTTTTCTTTCTGGAGATACTTGCATAAATCTTATCTGAATAGTCATTATTTTTCCACAAGATAAGTATATTTAGATTTTTTTTTTCAGCTAATATTGATATTGCCAGTGTCTCTTATAATTTGCTATCTTTTTTCAAAACACTTGATTATGGCTCATCACAGCTACCTGTCTTTTTGGCTTTCAGCAATACTTGCTTATTACTGTTGTGATACTAATACTCTTAGAAATTTTTTACTGAGAATATTAGCACCTGTTGTTTTAGTTAGCATATTGGGTTTGTTTTGTTTTTTTGTTTTCTTTTTTCCAGTTTGTAAAACAATGAAGCCCATGATTTGGAACTATTTATTATTGGAAACTTCAACAGGATAATTTATAAACTTGAGAAAGGCTGAAGAATGTCTTGGTCAAAACACAAATGATATTAAAACAAATAATATTAAACTGAATAACTTGTGGATAATGACTCACTTAAGAATTTTAAATGACAAAAGAATACATCAGCCAAAACAAAGATGAGGATATTAGTTTCACTAGATTCTAGAATAGAATGAGCCTTTTTGTACAATAGAAGTAACACTCAATAACAATATACCATATTTTCTTGTGTATTACAACCCAGTGTTTTTTTAAGTTAAAAACAGAATAAATTACATCCTTGAGTATAATATGACCAGGTAGTACAGACATCCCTATGTAAATTTTTTTGGAAAAATTGTATCATATTATCCATAAAAATTTCTATGTCATACATATATTTCACAAAAAAAATATTTAATTTTTCCTGATATTAATTAATAGAAATGGACCTGATGATTAGCCATTGTTTTTTTTTTCTAATTTCTGTTTCAAAACTTAATTTTTGAATTTTGGGGGAAAGCTGCTTTGTTATAACATTAATGTTATCAAAACATGATAAATATTTATTAGATTTTTAAATCAAATTTGGCGAATTTATCTTTGAGACAAAAACTATTCAATTATGCTGACTCACAAAGAACAAATATTGCCAACATATCAAATACATTTTGCAAACAATTGTTATCAACACCTGACTACTTTGTGTTTTATTATTGATTGTGTTGAGTGTATTTGCAATCTTGCCGTTTCAAATAAGGGTTTTTTTTCTAAACTGAATAAAAATTTCTGAAGGTGTGTACTAATGTATAATATGACTCCCCTTTTTAGTCTTTAATTCTCATTCAAAATTTCTTGTATTATGCACAAGAAAATATGTTGTTATCAAGCTCAGATATACAACATTTACTCATGGTATAGAGTCTGGGCTTTGAAATTAGCTCTCTTTGTTTTTGGTATATAAACATTTTGGCATTTTGCAAACAAGTGTCTTGCTAACATGCTACAATTGAACTGAGTGGATTCACAGAGCCTGTCAAATTGTTTCTTGCCCTCATTCAATGCAATGACCCACCAGGTGAAGAGGAGGGTGACTGGTAAGAAATATACAGTCCCCTTTGCCTAAAGTTTCTCAGAAATACTCACTGGTAGAATGTGTTTTCTTGCGGAAATTCAATGGAGCAAAATAAGCAATAATGATCAGGAGGATGATGAGAAGGAGAACTGTCCGCTTTGATCTGAAAAATAAAAAAAGTAAAATAATAAATGATCAATTTATTTCAACCAGTTTCCTCTTAAAATTGGATGGCGATAGAAAGAGGAGCAAGCAGATTTATTTATCTTCCTAAAAAAAAAAAAATATAGAGAAAACTTTCCTTAGATATATTCACTTTGGGTTTAGATCTTCTCTGGTTAACATAGGAAAAACAATTCTAAATTCAGAATCCATAGCATTTTCCTCAAAGACACATTGTTATAAATACAGAAATGAACAAATGTCAAAGATACCAATACTTTTGATTCTTCCCCAGGCAAAATGCTCTCTACCCTGGAGATTTCTGCTGCTTTGAATAACAAAGAAATAATGCTGAAATAAAAGTAGCTGGCTGTATTTATTCAGTCACATTTATACTTTTTCAAATTATCATTGAAGGGGACAATTATTTATATTTACTTTCCTGGTTGGACATTGAAAAAAATTAAAGTTCTTTGACAGCATAAAAGTACATGGTCATATAAAAAGGACTCCTATTTAAGCATGGCATATTCAAAGAAAAACGTTTTTAGTGTATTTAAGCAAGTAATGTTTAATAAATTACAAAACATGAAGAAAGTATTTTAGCTGTAGCAGAAGACATTACTGTATATAAAAAGCAAGTTAACAGTACAGCAGAACATAAGGCATGAACTCACAATAGTGAAAATATCCTACATTTGTCCTTGGCCATTTCATGTGACAAACACTTCATGTAACAAACATATTTTTCAGTTATGTTAAAGTTATATTTCCCAGGTTAATGTTTTTATCATTACCTACATTTCCTTTTGTTTACATTTAATTCTTCTGTAGTTTCAACTGCTTCATGATAGGAGTGTATTGCAGCATATTTAAGTAAGATGGATCAGCTGGTACTAACAAAATGTCACTGGTACTTTCTCATGATAGTCCTTTCAAAGTACCAATAATAATAATGAGTAAATAATATTATTATAGATTCAAGCTAGGTAGAAGTGGCCATATGAGATAAAATTATAACCTATGGTAGTGAGTGTTGGAGATAAAATTAGTCTATGGAAGGCCCTAACTTTGCATATAAGACTCTGGGTGATTTGGGTGGGGAGCGCATCTTAAACACTGTTAAATACAGTAATTATTACTGATTGGTTAATTAATGACATGGGGGAGTCAAGACACAAACATTTAAATGCATTTAGCAAAGATCACTAAAATAAAAGTAAGTACTTTCCTGATATTAATGTGTACATGCATGTACATGTGTAGGACAATACTTGGCACTCAGTAGATTCAGTGATGCTCTAACAATCTTCATTATCTTACCAAAAGCTGTATTTACAATGTTTTCGGGTGCTAACTTTGGCAACACTCAAACAGTGACCTCTCATTATTTAATACAATGTAGAGGGGGGTTTGAACACTTGTCACTAGATAATCTGTGCCAAGGACAAAACTCTAGTGCAGCAGAATTTTTTTTTTTTTTTTTTTTAAATTTACTGGAGAGAAAAAAATAAACACCTTGGCAATTATGATGGTTCGTAGTTTAGCAAACATATTACTTATATATGTCTATGTGAATTTAGCACAAAGGACGAATGTAATGCTGAAGTTGCAGGTAACAAGGTGTGGTTGTTTTTGTTCTACTCATGTCTAATTTTAGCCTTGTCCCCTATTCAATTTGCATTTATTTCAAGTTAGTAAATCTTGGTATGTATGGATCTTCTTTAGGTACAGGGTGCAATGGATAAATTGTCATCAAAATTACACAAAAATAACACTGACATATCATTTTAACAGATATATTTACCAAATTACACAAAAATATCTTGAAATATTTAACAGTAAATTTATTCAATAAAATTGCCATTGGCTTCAACTCCAAACAACTTCAGAAACTTCTGCAACTTTTCTGGATAGTCTCCTTGTTTAAGTTGGTGAATGCTGCCATAATCCTTGCCTTCAGTTCATTTTTGATGTTACAATGAGTTTTGTTGGTCTCTTGCTCAACTACACCCAACAAATAGTAATCAAAGGGGTTGCAATCTGAGGAATTAGGTAGCCAGATGTAAGGGGTGATATGGTTGGAGAAATTGTCTGACAGCCATAACTGGTTTCTCCTGCTTGTGTGGAATGGTGCAGAATCCTGTTGCCAGACATAGGGTCTTCCAGCAGCCATCCTCTTGATCCAGGACAGCACTACTTCCTCAAAACACTGTAGGTCTCCATGATGAGTGAGGTTCTGTGGGAAGATGAATGGAGGCATGTCGCCATCATTATTGATCACTCCAAACACCTTCATAGTCACCATTCACTCTTTCTGAATCCTCTAAAATTTTAAAAAAAAGTAATGTCCTATGTTAATTTTAATAATATCTGGAATTTGTTATTCTTAATTTTATTTAAGCAGATTTTATCTTGCTTAACATTTAAAATTGGTTAAAAAGAAAAGTTTTTCTTTTAACCATTTTACCCCAAGCAAGGCTATAAACCTACTAAGAATCAAGGTTTACTGAGTGTGAAAGAATCTGAAAAAAAAAAAAAAAAATCATCATCATTAAGGATAATAAAAACACAGGAATTAAGGAAACAGATGTCAACTGACAGCATTTATATTTTTGAAGGTCAAAGCCAGAAGAGAGTTCCATAAGTACAAGTGAAATAAAATGTTAACATAGAACACATGCTTATATCTAGGAATTTCAACTGTAAAATGATGAGACCTAGCTAGCAGTCTAGTACTGCACTTAAATTCATAAGAATAATTACCATGAAAATATTTAACCATTCCACTTCATGTCAGTGGCAAATGTTAGCCTGAGAAGACATGAGTCACTTATTTTGGAGGTTAGCATCAGCCATGCTGATGGAAACCAAGATGATTAAAAGTGTGCCAATCCATTTTGTAGGTATTAAAATTAATAAGCCATTTTTTGCCCTAGTTAACAACAGATTGAAGGTAATTTTTAGATCAGATGCCAATTTGACCTTATGGAAACTATCAGACTTACCATTAAGACAAAAATAATTGTGTCATCAGCATATATACAGAAGCGAAAAATGATAAAAATTGGGAACAAAGTAAATCCAAGAATAGAGTGGACACCCACATTAATGTAAAAGATCTAAGAGTGGCTATTCAAGACAACTTTCATTTGTAAATTAGATCTAATATCAGATTAGACAATAGATTAGATCATCCTCAGGGACACATGACTCAGTGGATAAAAGCATTAGTGGGATCAAGAGACTTGGCCAAAAGAGCTGTGAGTTCAATACATGGCTACTGCAGTGGTGAACAAAAAACCTGGAGAGTTGAGTTAATGGGAGATAAATGAGACATCCAGAAGAGGCATGGCAAATGAAATTAGAACAATCTATCCTGGTGGAAGAAATAAAGGGTTCAGTTGGAAATTCCAATCACCTGAAGAAGGCTGGAGCATACAACATCAGAAATGTTATGAATATGGCAACAAAGTTGAGGACAACAGTCCAAACAATGTAAATAGTGTAAATACAATACTTCATCTCAGAAATATTGACAGAGATTAAATTGGATTTTATGCAGAATTTTGTACCAGATGCCACCATTTATTTGAAATCTGACTGTTGGTAACCAATAGCAATGATCCTCAAACAAACCATTTGTAATTAATGTTAGCATAATAATTTTGATACATGTTAACAGGTAAATGTTTGTTTTTCTTTCCTAGGATTGCTTATCCACTTAGAAAATATTGTACAAAATATCTGTGTGTGTTTTTTTATACCGATTCACTCTTCATAATCTTAATATGCAACTGAAATGGTTAATTTTATTCTTTCAACTAAAATTTTTGGGGAAGAAATTGAAATTAGTTTTACAAAAGATATTGTAACAGAATAATTATTCCAGAATTTTAGAGTATATTATAAATAAGTAGGTAAAAATTTTTCAAATGAAAACCGAATACAATCAAAAGAATTAAATTTTATTCCTAGACACTGAACAATTTTTCACATTCCAATTCATATAGTAGCCTTAAATTTGTGCAGTCAGATGCTAATGCCATAAGACAAATGGCAAGGCACTGGAAAAATTTATGTTTTGAAAATAGTAAAATTAGCCCAATAATTAATTTTAAACATTTTCTCTAACTTCAGTCAGTCTTAATTTGAAAAAATAGCATTAAAATCTATTAGTTGTTTTTATTTATTTTTTTTTTTTGTTAGAACTATTTAAGTATATGGTCCAAATGTTTTTACCAATTTCATGTGTATATATTTCTCTATTATTAATCCATTGATGATTTATAGGTAAAAACCTACTTTTATAATCCCTCCCCCAAAGAGTGGTGGTGGCAGAATATCAATCCACCCAACTCCTTCCATCTCAAATGGGTGCTTCTCACCATCACCCCTCAAAGGGTGCAGGCAATTCCTCTACCTTCCTTGAAATTCTACCTGGGCCTGTACCTTTTTCTCTGATCAAACCTGTTCTCAGAGGATAGGCATGGTCTAGCCCAAATTGCTAAATTCAATTATCATCTAAAACCTCCATCAGCGAGAAATTCTTATCGCATCCTTGTGGAGTCAGTTGCATCTGGGATTTGTCACCTGTCACTGCCCCTTGCCAGCTCTTTGTTCAACAAGTGACAAAAAGAGACAATTCCTTTGTTTTAATAAATTTCATCATGTCTTAGGCAGACGTAAAAGAAATATAACTACAATTCCTTTACTGTTTTCCCTTGGAAACATGTCAATCTTAAAATCCAAGTCTTATTAACTACCGAATTTCAGATAGAGACTTGCTGTTAGCTTTTATGGGTAGCCTTCCCATTACCCACTTCATTTGAGTCGCACACTGACACTTTATCTGATTCTCTCATCAGCACTTGAGGTCCTTAAAATATAATCTATTCTTCCAATGGAAGAATAGGTTATTGATTGGACACTTAAAAAAATATCATCACTTAATATTAATTTGACCAGCACCTTAATAGTGTCACACATTCAGTTCATAAC